CGTACAAATGGACGCCGATGAGAGGCCCAAGTAAGAGGGAAGCGCTGATCCAGTTCTCGGAAACTTTGTGGTGGATCTTGCCGGGAAGGTCCTTCCATAGGCCAGGCATCACCTTCTGCTGGAACGGAGATAGAGCGTAAACGACGGCCTTCAATTTAACTGGCTGCTTCCCCATTTTTCAAAGTGCGGTGTCTTCTTCTTCCTGAATTGCGCAGGGTTGAGAAGAAAATGGGAAGATCCGTATTGTTGATGAATGGAAGGAAGAGAAGGCACCACTTGAGAAATCCTGGATGATTCGCTCAGAGCCAATTTTGGGCCGTATGCCCGTATATTTACCCGCAATGCACTGCTCTCTGTAATGTGTTCTCTAAAAAGCCCAACATAAATTATGAGAGCATCAAGATTTTAACATTTTATTTTAGATAAAATTCTACTAATATTACTCTTTTAAGAGTTACGAACAAAAATGTTACTTGGTAACTTTTAGTTACTATAATTATTTTCAAAGTTACTATGATTTAGTGACCATGATGTAAACCTTGAACACAGTTATAATAACTATAAGTTACCAAGTCACATTTTTATCCATGACTTTTGTATTAGTAACATTTTAGGAAATGTTAAGGGGAGAGGGGGAAATGTGTAAAATATAAAGAAATGAAAACAAAGGTGAAAAGAAAGTGGGAAGACGGATTGTCCGAAGAAGCAACAGAAAAGAAATAAATGAAACAAACACCATTTTCCCTAATTAATAATCTCCATTTTGCAAGTAATTACAAAAATTCATGGCAGCTCACGTTAAGCCTAAAAGCAAAAGAGAGAACAAACATCCAAATTAATGCCCTCAATGTTTGATACAATTACAAAAAACACGGATGTACCAAGCACATCTGACAAAAAATTCATGGTACATCCGGGTGTACCATATAATTTACCAAACTCTTTGGTACATGTGGAAGTTTTGGTACATTCAATACATGACTTAACCTTATTGAATACTAGTTTTAATACGCGCGTTGCGCGATCAAACAAATGCCCAATATGATTTGTTTAGAAAACATTTTCACAAAATATATGTTTCTTAGAGATAGAAGTCTATTGGTCGAAAGCTTTAAGAAACAAATAAGCAAAAAAGGCATCAACTTGCAAATTGAAGCGATGTACGTATTTTCTTCACAATTGGGAGAAAAAGCTCATTCAAATACCTTTATTTCAGAATCACAAATATTCAGATCTTACCCTATTATGGTCTGAATATTTCACAATCAACCTATGCTTGTTGGAGATAATATCACACTTTCAGTCTGGTGCCTCTCCACCTGCGCGGTAGTAGGTGGCTCAGTGCCAAGGCTCTTGGACATTCACGTCATCATATCCTATTTACGATGATCTCCTCCAACGATCAACTCTTCTGGCACAGTGGACGACGACTTCTCCTTTAGACCCGCATCCAAACATAAGGCTGCTGATAAAGTGCTTTTTAATTCACTGCTTTCATGTATAAGCATGTGGCGTATGCATTTCTGTCAATCTTCCACCAATCCATGAACTTATGTCAAATTCCTAGCAGATTACATATTTACAGTTTGCAATTGATTAAACGAATTTGCATCAATTTAAAACACCATATTCTTATATTTTAAGGCTATTGGATGGATGTACAAGCTAAATACCATTTTAGAGAGTATTGGATGCATGTATAAGCTAATCATCTCCTTGGGGCGAAACATTCTAGAAATGATTGCATAAAGAAAATGTTACATCTAAAAATAAAGAAGAAGTATGTTATTATGTTTTTTACATTCTTTGGAATCAGTTTTGACTTTTGAGGCTATGATTGTTAATGTTGTTGAACTCATAGCTATATATCTCGGGGCCTACAATTGCAGTAAATTAAGTATTTATGTGCTTGAGATAGAATCACAAACTAATGGGGCTATAAACTTATCCAGAGTTAGGAAAAGGAGACCTGGAGACAGGAGTGCCAGCAATCTTTGAGCTAAAGATAAAAACAAACTTGAGGATAGATAGCAGGCCAACACTGACCAAAACTCAAAGAGAAGGCAACAAGGAAGCAACTGATTAGCTAATAAAGATGGCCATTTGTTACAAAATGACCAAGTTAATGGGATGAAACGTGTTGGTCCCAGATTTTTGTAGACTAACACACAGCTAGATGGATATCATTGAATAACAGAGAAGAACGATCTCACAGAATGATTTATGCAATATCGAGAACTTGGAAATCGTCTTTCTATTATATCGAGAAGTATTTTGGCAACGTAAGGCTAAAGTGTATTAATCGATATCGGTACCTGTACAGGAACGCGCATATTTATAGGCGCTGTACAGGTTACTGAATTAGGTAAACCTTGGGATTTGGGACAAGGCCTTTTTGGACCTCATTCCCTTTAACTCATTTATTACAAAATGATTACTAATCTGATACCATAAATGGTATAACTAGTCTACTTTATTAAACAAGACATTACAGACAAACTTGACTCACAATAAAAGTTCTAACAATCTCCCCATTTGTGATCAAGTGTCGTCTTGTCGCTGGGTTGGGCTGGCAACCCCTTTGAGGCCGGCCCTTAGGTTAGGTTTAGGGCGCCGCTTAGGGCGCCGTTAGGCTTAGGCTTTAGGTAGGTAGGTTTAGGGCGCCGTTAGGCTTAGGTTTAGGCCGGCTGTCCCAGGGCGTCACACTGCCCCGGTGTCGGGCCGGAGCTTTGAGGGAGGCATTATGCTGCCTCGGTGGCGCCGCGTGGCACCAAACCTCCCCTGGGGGGGGGATGGGGGGTACAGGAGTGGCATATATTACGTTTAAATGTAACAATTAATGTTAATTTTGTATATATTTATACTGAAATTCCATAATCACTATTGATGATATTACTTAAAGGAGTGTATATACTATTCAAGATTCATCTAAAAAACATTAAATTAGAAATTTAGATAAGAAATAATCAGGAAGTTTTCTTTTGGACTGAAATTTGCTGGTGTGGTCTGATTTGGTCTGGTCTGGTAAACGTCTGGTCTCTGTGTATTTTATAACTACAGAAGTATGTCTGGTCTGGTCTGATATGGTCTGGTCTGGAACTGAAAACAATCCAAAAGAAAACATCCTCAAAATTAAAGAAAGAAAAAAAGACCGCATAGCACAATATAACAAATTTAAAGTCCAAACTACCAACTATGAATGCAAAGTAGCTGATACGGAGTGATATATTTTGGTGGTATATCACCACATTGATCCAAACTCAATACCCAATACAAACAAAAAATGACCAGGTTAAAATATTGCTTTTAAGAGTTTAACCATTCGCCAACCCGTGCTCATTAATTTATACTACGTACATCTCAATTTTGTTTTTGGTCATCAATGCATCTAAACATTATTCCTTTTGCAAATCTCAAGGTCGTCTGTTTGAATCCCTTTTTCAATTACATCATGTGTTTGATTCATCTTCATACATTAATATTGTATTTACATTATCATTTAATTTCTATCATATCAACCATTTGTTTGAATCTAAGTTTAAACTTTACCGGTGGAATGTCGCAAAAATACAAAACTTTACTGGTGGAAGATTTTTTTCATAAACAACATCTGCAGGCTCTATTAGCAAGAATTTTTAATATCTCGTGCTATGAACATTTTTAAAAACTTTCAGATCGCATTTTTAGGATCTTACATGCAAAAATAAGATTTACAATTTCCAGATGTGGAAAACGAACTTGATTTGCAAAAATCGGTTTATAATTCGATTGATGATAATCTTAATATTATTTTTAATTTAAATAAAGTATATATATATTTTGAAACTTTCTAAATGTAAGTTATATGGTCACCGACTCGATCACACATACTCCGTAGATTATTTAGACACCATTTAAAAATCATGTTCTGCTGTACAGTTGCCGATATACTCACCCTCTGGGACTGACCAAGTTCTGCTGGGTTGAGCTGGACACGAAGTAAAAGTCAATATTTTAGAGTAATTAGGAAGTACAAGTTGAGCACAATTATATAATCAACAAAGTCAATATTTTGTCTACCATCCTTATTATTCATTAATTGTAATTTAATGCTCAAATACGACTTAGAAGTGGAATAAAATGAAATAAATGAGATACTAAAACATGAATACATATCCCTGAACAAACAAAACGAGAGCCGGTGTTCCACTCCACTCCACTCACACTCGCACAGTCGCACTCCCACCGCCACTGAATCAACGTCAACATCCTCGAGCATTTCCTTCCTTTCCTATCGAAGTATTATCCAGCAGCCCGGAGAGAGCATCTGCTATCTGATCCTCAGTCAGATCGACATTAGTTAGTACGGAGTCTTATGTATGGTGGTTCTTGGCCGGCCGCCGGGTGAAGCAATACCTCAGCTCATCGATCCGGCGGCGACTTAGGGCTCGTCAGGCTTGGTGGAGGAGGCCGGCCAGGGCCAGGGAAGGAGTGATAGAGTGAGCTGTTGGTTGCTGTGCTTACTGCTTACGCCAAAGAAGAGAAGAAAAATACTCCGTAGTAAGTATTCATTCATTAAACATTCCCACACCGGCCGCCTTGTCCGAGCTCTCCCCTGGGATTCTCTATAAGTACGAGAGCACAGTTTCTCAAGAACTCACCCTTCGGGACTAATCCCGCTGGGTTGGGCTGGCCACAAAGGCCTGGGCCCCGGCTCCCCTTTTGGGGGCCATTAGGCTTAGGTTAGTTTAGGTTAGCGCTAGGCTAGGCTAGGTTTAGGGCTAGGATAGACTAGATTAGGGTTAGGTTAGGCTTAGGGCGGTGGGGGCGTCATGCTGCCTCCATGCCGTCCTAGCCGCCCGGGGGGCGTTATGCTGCCTCGGTGGCGCCGCGTGGCGCCAACCCTCCCTGGGGGGGGGGGGTAGGGGGGGGTTCGGAGTCAAGGGTAAGTAGTAGGGGAGTCGAGGGGGGCAGTAGTGGAGAAGAGGGTAGGAAAGGGGGAGTCGAGAAGGGGGGAACAAGAAAGAAACAGAAAAGTAAAGAAGAACAAGAAAGAAAGGGAAAAGTAAAGAAGAACAAGAAAGAAAGGGAAAAGTAAAGAAGAACAAGAAAGAAAGGGAAAAGTAAAGAAGAACAAGAAAGAAAAGGAAAGAAAGAAAGGGTTGCTGATCATCCCTCGCTTTTAAAGCTGACAGCTCAGCTCAGTTGTCTCCTCAATTGAGTAAACATTTGATTATCAATGTTAGACTTTCTCGACACAAGAAAGGGTTGCTGTTCTTCTTGTTTAGTATGACCCCACAATCCATTTGATGAGATTCTAAGTGTAGTTTTACATCATGAGGGGCTCGTTACCCAGTTTTACATCATGAGGGGCTGGTTATTAGTTTGGAGACCCGCACTATGGTAATCCTTTGACTCATCAATTGTATCATGCTTTGTTGCTCTGGATTATGCATTTGAAATAACATTTGAAATGACAGACATGTGATGTAATCACATACATTGCTGCTAGTTAATTGCTTGCTTGTGTAGATTGAGATTGCCCTGCTTTAAGAGTTCATTTATTGTTTTTTTTCTTCACGGCTCTAATTGGTATTTTATCAACTAAAAGATACATTAGTTCATTTAGTTGTGCGATGTTGCTTTACCTGGCCATGCAAAGCTAGTCTCTCAAGGTGAGCGTAAATCCTTAGAAACGGTAGGAACTCGTTCATTTTTATTCCATCTATAAAAAAGGGGGGAGTCGAGAAGGGGGGTCACAGGAGTAGTATAATAGGAGCGGGGTAAGGAATAGCAAAGGAAGGAACAAGAAAGAAACAGAAAAGGAAAGAACAAGAAAGAAACATAGACTTCTCAGTAGTGCAGAAGAAGACTGCTCACATTGTCCTGTTATTTTTGTTAGCAATTTGTTCGGAATTTGATCTTTTGTTTCTTGAAATTGTCTATTGATTCAGCTCTTAGTTGTTGACCCCTTTTCTCACCAGTCTGACATGAAATTCTTATTACAGATTCTTCTACATGCACGGTTTCTATCACCACTCCAGCTATATTTGGAAGCTCAAAGAGGTTAATTTCATCATGCACTCTCTACAGTGATGAAGGTCCTGAGCCATGGCTCCGTAAGACTAGTACTGATGCTTGGCTTTCTACTGGCACTGGGGAGGCAATTGATGGGGCTGACCGGCTGATGGTAATCTTGAGGTGTTTGATGTGCCCCATTTTACCTGTGTTTTCTCCGTGGATAAATTTGTGTCGGGAAGGAGTCGCTGACACCTTGACCCAACAAGATCCATCTCTTGGTTCTTGTCTAAAAAGTTCTGGCGAGGTTTCTGGACATGGGAAAAAGGAAGCCCTTCAGAAGATCAAAGTAGTTGAGTTGGAAATGCAGAGGTGGGCAGGGCAACGTAGCCGTCCTTTTCTTTTTGGAATATTATCTGATGGAACAATTCTCTGCTACCTTGCCTACATTTTTGAAGGTTCTGAAAATTATTCACCCAGCTCTATTAATCCTAGTAACAGTTCTGGTACCTCCAGGCTTCGAAATTTAAGATTAGTACGCGTTCCACTTGAAAATTATGCAAGGGAGGAGGTATCGTCTGTAAAACGATCACAGCGCATAATTTTTTTTAAGAATGTTGGTGGTCTCCAGGGAGTGTTCCTTGTTGATGTTCTGTGAACGGATCTGAATGAATCACCAGGTAATTTCCATCTTCTCAATATGTTCTCCGGACAAAGATTCATAATGTTTTTCGACGTTTCTCTTGTGCACATACTTTGAAGTAACAACCTTACGCATCATAATACATAGGAATGCGATATTTTGAAATAGGCATGTATAGGTATTTTCTTAGATGTGTTGCACTAATTTTACTAACAGTGGTTTAACGAGCTGTCTGATTTTCGGTTATGAGCGTGGTAGGGATCTCGTCCGATTTCTTGGACAAAGGATTAGTATGGAGGTACAGCCAAGAAAGAGAAAATAATTTGGATCTATAGTTTAAGAGAACAGAATTTCGGAATAAGCCTAATGTAGAATTTACCGGTGCCTGACTTAATCAAGCATACAAGAACAAGTTTTCCAAAGGTTGTTTGTTAATCAATACAGAGGACCTGTATATAGTTATTTCAAGAAGCCTAATCTTAATAACAATATCATTACTACCAAGAAACTACTAAGTACTAACTAACAGTTAATAACAATAATAGTAACTCTTAAAAATAACATCTCTTCCGTCCTATAGCATGGCCTTAACAGGAGACTTGCCCACATCCCTTTCTTGAATATTCTGGTGGAATCTGAATCTGCATTCTTTATTTTGAAGAGTAAATCTTGACCTAACCAGCATCCATATTTACTTCATTAATGATTTCCATTCATTTTTACAGCTTTGTGATGGGCCTATTGCTGCCTTTCCATTCATTAACATTGTGATTTCCATTCACAATGTTAATTGCAATCATGGGTTTATATATATAACTATGCAAGTAAGATTGTTTTGTTTCTCTTTTTATGTGCTACATTTCTTTATCTAGTGAAATTCTCCTTGGCTGATTGAGGTATTTATAATTCAAGGGTGCTCTAAAGATTTGCCATCTTCCATCTCTACTATCCTATGACAACTATTGGCCAGTTCAGAAGGTATAATCTGTCATTTTTTTCTCTTTCACATTGCATTATCTGTCTATGCGAAGGCTGTGCATTATACCTTATGATTATCTCGATTAACACTAGTCCCCTTGGTTCATCTCACATACTTGGATTCTGTTGGTTTCTAAACAATTACATAAAACCAGTGTATGATTTTTTGGCATTTGAGTAGTTTAACAGATTTTGAATTAGCTTTATATTATATATGAAGAATATTAAGGTTTTCTTAGGCCTCGTCTGGGGGTTGGTTTCAGGGTCTCTGAAAATAAAAAACCCAGATTTTTTAAACCATCAAGCTGACAGTTTTTCCTTGGCGCCGGCACCGGCTTGCTCCCCCTGGTTCCGCCCCTGTTCTTGTTGCACATGTTTTATGATCATCCTTAAGGGTCTCTTCGCTTGCGTCATTCCAACAACCGGTGGGGAGCAAATAAAAGAACTTCTCATTCGAAAGATTGATTTGGAGATCCTCATGAATGACGTACCAAATTAAAAGCCAAAGGTGAATAACGTACCAAATTAAATCACTAAAATTTAAAATTGTTTTAATATAAAAAATACAACCAATTGCATACAACCAATTATAGGCCTAAAACAAGATTCTAATCATATGTTAAAAGCCAAATGAACAGGATTAGAGCACTCTCGCCTGAAACTTCAAATCCAGAGGAGAACCTATCAATCCAAAAAGGATGGCATCAAGTTTCAGCAGTTACTTCTCAAATGATTAGCAACATAGCGTAATGGAGACAAAAAAGGATGAACCTTAGGAAAGATATAATAACCAGACCGAAGAATAAACCACAAGTCTGCCAATGCCGCATGATATCAAGTAGCACATGGGAAAAAAGAACACAAAGAATTAGCAACCAACAATGACTTCCTTTGGATTGGCTTCTCTGGGATGCAACATATTACACTGACAATCAACATAAATTTCCCATTTTCTTGGCAAATCATTAAATCATAAATCTCACATTCTACCAATCTTTTCAAAATTATCTCACATATGATTTTTAGCTTTTCTTCCTAAAAGTCTTCTCAAATCATTGTAGTCTCTTTTTATAATTTTTTCTGGGTTACTTGCTTATATTTTTCGGCAATAGGGTAATGATGATGATGATTATGACGACTTGTTTATATTTTTCCTTTAAATTGTTTAGAAAAGAGAAAACATAGGGTAAAGGATGAGTTCTGTTCATGGAGGGGCCTCATTACTACCCTTGGGACCTCATTATTCTTTTTGGGCAGTCGATTGGGAGATAGTCTGCTCGTGCAGTTTACTTAGTGGTCTAGGAGCACCGATGTTTTCTTCAGGGGTAGAGGATGAGGTCTGTGCTTTGTTTTCTTCAAATAATTTATTCGTTTCTGCTGTAGCATTCGATTCGATAAACTCTGTTGGCTAGTCTACTCTCCATCCTGCTTCCAACATCTTCCGAAATCAGTTCTTTGATATGGTTATTGATTAACTGGTGACAGTTTATGCTGTACACATCTTTATTTTTTCTATTTAGAGTTTCAATCAAGTAAATCAATGATTTTACATAAATACTGTTTTCACAATTTTATTCCATGGTTAGTTAAGAGCTTAAGACCAAAGTATTTATATACTCCCTCGTGTTGTATGTGTATACTATTGATTTAAGATCAAATGAGAAGAATCCCTTAGGCAAGAAATGAGAAACACTACAGTGCATTGGATCAAGAAGAAAACACAAAAAAAAGAAACAAAACATTTTCACATTTTTTGTTATTAAAGAAACTTTCTTCCACTGCACTGAAGGGGATAAATACTCAATCACATACATAAAAGTGAAAGAGTGGTGCACTAGAACTAGAAGTAAAACTGTTCGCAAGGGAAGTGCACATCTCAGCATTACCACCCCACACACCTGATATCATTTAACTTCGGCACCTGTATGATTTACCTTTGTAGGTTGGAGATATTGAAAATGACGCACCTTCTGTTAAGAGGCTGAGGATGTCTTCTTCTGATGCTTTGCAAGACATGTTCAATGGGGAAGAACTGTCCTTGTATGGCACATCGCCTAATAATGCACATTCAGCACAGGTAAGCTTTAAATTTTGGAGGCTGCTGCTTTTTATTATTTGTGATGTATTTCATATAGCATTCTTAACAAAGTGAAAAAGTCACGCATGGTTTGTAGTGGAAGCATAAGAAATAAGAGCAAATATTATCCACACATAGTACTTTTGTCAGTCAATTAAGAATATTATTAAATACGATAGTATATGGAATCACCCGTGCTTAAGAGGCGCTCTTGCTCTGTGTAATGAATAATATACTCTACTATGCATCGTAATATTAAGTTCTTTGTGATGGATGCAGCGGACCTTCTCCTTTGCGGTGAGGGATTCTTTGATAAATATTGGCCCTTTGAAGGACTTTTCATATGGTTTGAGAATAAATGCTGACCCAAATGCCACTGGGGTTGCTAAACAAAGTAACTACGAATTGGTAAGTACTGCATGCGATAAATTTTAACAAAGTGACCATGAAATGGTAAGCATTTCAAGACATAAATTTTCCATCTTAAACATAGTTTTAGAATGGAGGTTATAACTTGATGATGTTGCATAGTAAATACTATTAGGTTCTGCAAGATATGTTTTGACCATAAATTTAGAATAGGGATATTAACTTGATGATATAATGGGGCATGAACAACTAAGTTGTCCAAGCCTGGTTTGAGCTTAACATTTCTAGACCTGGGATGTTTAACTTGGCAATATGGTTTTCGATAGGTTTATAAATTCTTACAAATGCTTTGTCAAACTCCATCAATGATGCAATTTTACACATTTTGGCATTTATTTAAATGTTTTGAGCCATTGAGTATATGCAATTATCAGTAATTCATTGGGAATACTTTCAGGTTTGCTGTTCAGGCCACGGGAAGAATGGCGCTCTTTGTGTGCTCCAAAGGTCAATTCGCCCAGAAGTCATTACTCAAGTGTGCTTCTAATTCTTTTCATTTCTTTTTGTACATGGAACCCCCACATTGTGGTGCTCAGATGTTATAGTTATTTATTTTACTCTATTATCTCAAAAAGTCAGAAGTTTGCTGCATCTTTATTGGTTATAAGCAAAAGAAGCTAATGTTTTCATATCCACTTTTTTTTACAGTTTGCTTTGAAAGCAAAAAGCAAACAAAAAATCTGCCTGTCATATCAACTTTCGTTTGATTCTTTAAATGAAGTGAACATATTACCATTCTTCAAATTTACGTGTCTATATTCTTAGCATGAGGACATGAGGTGATAAATTTTTTATTGTAAAGTCTAATTTGCCCCTTTTTCTTAACTTTTTTTATTAACAATGATTAAGACTTGTGATAAATTCTTAACATTAAACGTGTCTATACTGATCATTTAACAATAATTAATACTTGTTTTTTTTTTATATAAAAGGAACATTAGCGAGATTGATCTTTTATTATTGTATGCGATATTGTTAGTTTTGTTGTTCCGAAAATACTTCTTCCTTCCCATTATACCTGCATTATTTTCCTTCTTCAATTACCTCAAAATAAGCGTCATGTTTCCTTTTTGGAAAGAAATATGAAGTTCATATAGTTTAACTTTATTGTATTAAATTTGCTATTGCAAGTTTTATTTTTTCGGCTACTTTATTGTAATCGTGTCAAATCAATACAAGACTCATAAAATGGGACATAGCGAATAATAAACTTAAAACAAAGGAGTGAAGGGTTAGATGGGTACTCGAAGTTGCATAAAAAGGGTCAAATAAGTCCTTATTCAAAAAATGAATAAGATGCTCAAAAATTTCATCAAAAAATTCCAACGGAAACCGCCCCAAATGGCGACGGCCGGAGAGTAATTGACTCTTTTTATGCAACTTCGAGTATCATTCTGACCTTTTGCTCTAAAACAAAGAGGGTGAACTATTAACTTGAATGTGTATATAATCAATTAAACAAACAAATTGGACTACTCTATAAGTAGGGATGGATCCATAATTTATATCCAAGGGTCGGGGGAAACAGTTTCCTCATTAGTATAAAGGAGTGTTTGCTAAAGATAAAAAAACGTTTTTTCAGCTTATGACTTTAAAAAAGTTGAAATAAGTGTTTTTAAATGAACGCTTCTGCTTAAATTAAGCACTTAAAACTAAAAGGTGCAAGTAGTTAAAAGGGTGTTTTAAACTAGTGGTGGCCCGGTTCCGGTCCCGGTCTGATCGGCCCGACACTGTGCTGGCCTGGACCAGTCTGATGAACCGGTTCCGGGACTTGGCCCAGCCCGGGGGGGGGGGGGGGTCCGGTCTAGCCTATCCTTTTGTACCAGTCGGGCCCGGTTCAGGTTTTTTTTTTGCAATGTTTATATTTTTTCCCGGGTTGAGCTGGGTGTTTGGGGGTGGGGGGGGGGGGGGGGTCGGAGGTTAAGTAGAAAAGCCAAAAAAATGAAGAAGCCCGGGGATCAGCTCGGCCCGGCCGGGACCGGTCCATGCCTATTTAAATTGCTTTTCACTTTTTCTATTATACAAAAAACACTCATTTTACCAAATACCGCCAACTTTAACTTTTTTAGAATCACTTTTTCTTAAACACTACCATCTTTTACTATACTACTATTACACAGTACAAGCTAGTAAGTCATATATTGCTTAAATTTGAAGTTGGATCGCCCAAAAGAATCCAACTTAGGTAGGTGGAGATGTGGATCGAAGCTAGGCTGGACTGCTGCTCGGGTTTCCGTACAATTGTGAGTAATATAGCCTCGATTGATTTTCTTTTCTTTTCAATAAATCCGACCGAGAGAGAAAGGGGTCGGGGTAGGCTTTGATGAGTAAGTAAGGTAGTTAGGTCTGCTTCGTGAGAGCGGGGGGGGGGGGGGGGGGGGGGGGGTCGGCTTCAAAAGGAAAGGGAAGTCAGAGACATTCCTTTTACAAAAAAGTTCCCAATTGATCGTAATTGCCCAACTTTGGGGTTCAAGGACTGTTCCTAGTACTATCCCACATGGTCTAGTGGGCTATCCATTTAGGGTCGGACTCCGGTTTGACGCTCCCAATTTGGACGACATAGGGTTAGGTTTTGGCCTAGGTTAGGCTTAGTTTGGGTTATGTTAGGGTTTAGCATAGGCTTAGTTTCAGTGGCGGAGCTGGTGCTGTTCAAGGGTGTTCATGTGAACACCCAAATATTTCAATTTTTACTATACAAACGCCGTCGTTTTGTTATTCTTTGAAGCTCTTCTGCAATTCTGAAGCTCCAAACTCCGGAACTCGTCCGTCTTCCGTTGCGTATCCTACTACAATTTTGGTTATTTCCGGATGAATAAAGAATTAGAGGAGCGACATAGTGGTGGTGGGACGTCATTGTTTAGGCGTGGTTCAGAGGTTGTACGTTATTGGTCTGACAATGTCCTTTTTTACTGTATTGGCATTATCTTGCTTAATTTATTACGTAGTATTAGTGAGGAAGAACTTTTTTCCTAATTCATTTTTGGTGAGGCAAAATGTTTTCTCCTCACTTATTTGTGTTAATAAGGACTTTAAAAAAATCCTCTTCTAATCAAATTATTAAATTAATATGTGCATTTCATTTTAATTTTATTTGAGTTTTGAACACCCAAAACATAAATGCTAAATCCGCCACTGCTTAGTTTAGATTAGGTCTAGGGTTAGGTCTAGGGTCGGCGCGCTGGGGGCATTATGCTGCCTCCGCGTTGACATCTTCATTATAATGCATATCAAACTAATTTTAGGAATAACACAACAAATATTAATGTGACATGCATGATGATTTTTATTAATTTTTTCACCTTTGAAAAGCCCGACTTATAACATTAGCATTGGTTTAATTAACTGAATCTGTTGAAATTGATGAAACTCCCACTGAAGCGATTGGTGCAATATGCTCACTTGTAGAAAATTATATTTATAATATGATTTATCAAATAAAGAAAAACCTTATTAAAATAGCTAAAATGGTTATATATAGTAACTTAAGTCAATTCAACTGGAAAAGTAACTTGACCTTACTTATTTTGATTATATTGTTACACAATTCATTATAGGAAAATAAAAAATTATTTATTTGATAAAAATATTAACGTATAAGGCGGAACTATGCTGGCACTATATTTTGATATCTTCTTTATCATAGAAGCGAAACTAATTTATTTTAAAGGTTATTCTTAAATTTGTGCAACACAATTTCTAACACTATATATTCAAAGAAGAGAGCATCCTAAGTTTGGGAAAATGTATACAAATAATTTAATTTTCTTATAATTTCAAAACAACCCAACCAAAACGAGAGAAAGTTTGAAGTGCTAGCGGCAATTCATTTTTGTAATAAACTTAACAAAAAGGGATTAGCGAGGTCAAAATTTTCAATAGAGGTTATTTTTATAAGATGTTTAATGTAAATGACACTATGAGTTATCAAAGCGGACTAAATTTCGATTTTTTATAAACGACAACGTAACTAATTTATTTTCAAGATTATTTTAAGTTTGTGCAATACATTTTCTAACCTTTTATATATCAAAGAACTAGTATATTACTCGTGCGATGCACGGGAAAATAAAATTTGTAAATTAAGGAGAAATATATTAATATAAACTTTTGTCATATAAACACGAATATTTGTCATATGATATGTGGATGAACTGTTTTGGTTTACAAAAAATATGTTCTCTCTTTATGTGAAGGATCTTATATCATATTGATAAGTTTTCTTTCACAATGTCAAACACAATGTATAGGGGATAAGGGTCAGTTTGGTCCTCGAAGTTGCAAAAAAGGGGTCAAATAAGTCCTTATATAGAAAATTCTGTCCGGACGTGCCATTTGAGGTGGCTCCCGGTAGAATTTTTTTGATGAAATTTTTTGAGCATCTTATTCATTAAGTCTAGTTTACCCATATCAAATTTCAGCTAAAAATTCAATCGGGAAGACATTCAATTGAATTCTTGAAGATAACTGTGCCGTTAAAAGCGCAATTATCTTCAAGAATTCATTTGAATGTCTCCCCGATTGAATTTTTAGCTGAAATTTGGTATGAGTAAACTAGACTTAATGAATAAGATGATCAAAAAATTTTATCAAAAAATTCTAACGGAAGCCACCTCAAATGGCACGTCCGGACAGAATCTTCTTTATAAGGACTTATTTGACCCTTTTTTTGCAACTTCGAGGACCCGAGGACCAAACTGACCCTTTACTCCAATGTATAGATATGTAGACATTGAGATTGATATTGTAGAGAAAAACTTACCAAAAAACACATAAACTCGTGGAAAGAATGAAAGATAAAATGTCATAAATTCAATCTTGTGTGTCTATCTCTCTCATGCACACATGTGCACCGTGCACATTGATGCTTCTTGAATAAACATATTTTTAATGACACGTAGATTTTTTCAAAATAATCTCATTCCATCAAAATTATATAATTCATCATCTCAAAATAATCAGATCTTTTGTGGGTCCTATACTCAGTAATTAATACTTCCTTCACAATAATCTTGAGATAATCTAAATTCAAATTTCAATCCCGGAAGATTTTGTCAAATAATCTCACCAAATAATCTTCATCACTCAATCATGATCCCCAAAATAATCCGCCACATCAACAACTTAATCCTCAAATAATCCTATGAATGAAGTTCGTATACCATACGACCGTCCCACCATGAGCATCATGCTCCCACTCCCAAAACGATGTAGTTTTGGGCAATTTAAAAAAAATATTCTGTGTGAACAGTACACGTGTGTACAACGGTTTTTTTTGTCCCAGTAACATGGATGGTGTAACATGAATTTTTAAGCTATTAAGATCAATTTTTCATTGTTTACATTGAAATCAATGTTTATAATATCTCAAACACAAAAAAAAAAAAAAAAAATCATTGTACAATTTTCCAACAAGTTACATTATGCATACGCCCAAGTTACATTTTCCATCAACGCGGGTTACATTTGTAATAACACGAGTTACATTAAAAAATCAACCCCTGCTATTTAAACAAAAATAATAATCTTTTCTAAAAAATTATTTTTTTTTGACCATGATATTAAAAACAAAAACTTATTCACGTTTTACCTAAAACAATTGTGCAATTAGACTCTTTTTTTTCACTGTATACATTGAAATCAATATTTGACAAGTTACATTTTGGATGAGCTTGAGTTACATTGATCAATAATGCAAGTTACATATCTTTACATGCGAGCTACACCATCCATGTTAATGGGACAAAAAAAC